GGTTTATAAAGTCCTTTTTTATAAGCTTTCTATCGGCTAATAACGGGCTGGAGCACTTATGTTCTCAACCTGACAGATTCCACATTTATGAGCCTGGAAGTCCAGAGCCTGGCACAGAGCGGCTGCCTAGGGGGAGTCATGCTGTCTGGCCAAGCTCATCGCAACGCGAGGAAGCTGTAGGGACCACAGGTTGGGGCACCGGTGCGACCAGAGGGTTGACACATAAGGAAGCTTAGAGAAAGGGAGGTGAGAAGGAGCCCTTGGACGCTCCTGGCAACTGTGCCCTGACTGTTGAGGTCAGAATGTGCAGACAGGAGGAAGAGGACTCACAGGGCATGAGACAAACCTCTTTGCCAACCAAGCGTCAGTGATCGTTAATTAGCCACAAGCTGGGTGGCAGCAGGACTGGCTTGCCTTTGGTGAATGTGAAAAAAAATGGGATAGGATATTGGTTTGCTGAGAAAATTAAAAATACAATGCAGGTTACAAGGAAAAAATTATATGCCTAAGAGACCCAACTGAAGCACTTTACTGTGTATTTACTAAAGTGAAGCACTTTAATGTGTATTTATTCATATGCCATTTATCTCCAAAGAAAGAGAAGGCTATGGGGAGGGGTGGAAGCTTCTTAGAGGCCATTCTAATTCAATCATTAAAGTAGGATTGCTGGTTGATAATGTTTGTTTAGGTTAACTCTGCCCTGACCTCTCTGGCTTGGTTAATTCTCGCAGAACCAGACAATCTGTTTCTCAACACAGTTAGCAATTTTATTTCAATTGTGTTTGTGCATGTGCGTGTGTACGAGTGTCTGTTCCGTAAGGACTCCCTGAGGGACATGGAAATTTTTTTGCTCCTTTCAACAAATACTAACAAAGAGCACAGCTCTTTCTACTGCAAAATGAATGAAAGGGTGTAATAAAATTAAATATCTTTTAAGCTATTTTTATTTAGAATTTCCATGAAGTGTTGGTGTTAACAAAATGACAATAGAGGGTGCAGTAAATCACCCAAATAATAATAACCTGTGAAAAGGAAAAATATTATTCTAGTAAAATAGTGATGATCATGGACAATACTCAGCTTCCTTTATTAATGTGAAAACAATTTTTAATAGAGTAAAGCTCAAAATTCCCTAGCAGTATAGTTATGTAAATGTAAATATCCTAATGTGTTACTCAATGATCTAAATTCTCACCAGAATTAAACCACTCATAAACTCCTAGGTCTTTATTGCCAAAGCAAATAGCTTGGCTTTCCCTTCCTGAATTTCTCTCCCTCTGCAACTAATCACCTTTCCACCATCCCATACTGCCATCCTCCTGTGGGGGTTTTGCTTCAATTCCACGGCCTTTCCGTTCTTCCATCGTTTTGAGCCTGGTCCCACCCGAGCCCAGTGCAGAGCTGCTTCCCAGGCTGCATTCATCTCTGCAGGGAGCCTCCCCTGACCACGCTCACCGCCTGTTCTCTATCACTCCCTAGCACCTTCCTCTGTTCGCTGTGTTTCTGCACTTGTCCTCATCTACAGGTACCTTCTTTGGAGCTCACTTTTTTGCAGGCTATTCTAGGGTTCACGCACAAGAATGCAAGGTCCTCTGAGCAAGGACTCCAGCTGCCTTTTTTTTTTTTTTTTTTTTTTGACAGGCAGAGTAGACAGTGAGAGAGAGACAGACAGAAAGAAGGTCTTCCTTTTCCATTGGTTCACCCCCCAATGGCCACTGCGGCCCGGTTCACTGCGCTGATCAGAAGCCAGAAGCCAGGTGCTTCTCCTGGTCTCCCATGGGGTGCAGGGCCCAAGGACCTGGGCCATCCTCCACTGCCCTCCAGGGCCACAGCAGAGAGCTGGCCTGGAAGAGGAGCAACTGGGACAGAATCCGGCACCCCGACTGGGACTAGAACCCGGGGTGCCAGCGCCGCAGGCGGAAGATTAGCCTAGTGAGCCGCGGCGCCGTTCCCAACTGCCTTTTCATCTTCATAACCCCATGTCAAGCATATGCCCAGTATTTAGTAGGCACAAGATAAATATTTACTGAACAAAGAAGGAAAGAACAGAAAAACACATGGTGGAGTAAGCATTTCTATTATGTCATATCAAAAGCGATAGATGGCATATTCTCCAATGGGCTGTGGCAATAGTGTATAAAAATAGTGTATAATGTTTGCAGGTACAGTGTCTAATGCTACCTGGGTTGTCCAGCTGTCCAGGAACTTAATAGCTTAGCTTTTACAGTGTATATCAGGGAATACATGCATTTCTTTATTTGCTTCCCACAACTATCTCTTAAGGAGGCAGGGGCAGCACATATATTAAATCAGAACAATACAGAGAAGACCAGCACGCCCCCTGTGCAAGGATAACACACAAATTCACGAAGGAGGCAGGATAAGGACAGAGGTAAGACCACTCATGTTTACGTAGATGAAGATACTGAGTTCAGAGAGGGTCAACTGTTTTCCCAATCATGCACACAACAGGCAACCAGCCTGGGTCTCCAGCCTCATCTTTTGTAGCTTGCCTGCTGTACCAACCAGTGTCCACTGTTTTACATCCAAATCACATCACTCATTATTTATTTCTTCTTTTAATTAACCTAGATTGGGCATCAACCACTGTAAAAGAGTCTCTTGGGCACTCTGTGGCACATACAAACATGAGACTCACTTTTTTGCTCTTAAAGTAAAAAGGCAGAAATGGCCATCACCCTGAGTGCATTTCAGCGAAGAATCCAGTTTGTAGGAAAACTTCAGCTTCACAAAGGTACAAAACCTGGCTTGTGTGATAATAGGATGGACCTCTGAAAATTATACTGTAGCACGTTCTTCTCTCTCTCTCTCTCTCTCTCTCTCTCTGGAGAGAATTTCAACAGGAGATAAGAAGAGGGAATATTTAAGGAACAAATATGAAGTGATAAAATGTGATGTGTTTTTAGAAACTGGTAAGGAGTTAATCAAAGGAAGCATTTGAATGGAGGGGAAACCTTGGCAGTAACACTGGAATTGCTGTTAAATGACAATTGCTCTTGGTGCTTTCAATATATCAGAATGGGGTCTTTTCACCCTTGCAAATACAAAGGCAGTTGTCATAGAAATAGAGTGCTCATGTGCCATAGAAGAGGAGGAAGCCAGGCACTCCAGCTGGTAGCAGGGCCAATAAAATGGTATCTTGATAGCCCAAGGCATTACAAAAGGTCTACAGCCTAATTTACTGATGTTCGAAGTTTGAAATTCTATTTATTAATAGTTGTTATGAAATATATACTAATAGAATATATTTTACACTAAGAGAACTCTTTTTTTTAAGATTTACTTCTTTATTTGAAAGTCAGAGTTACAGAGAAGGAGAAGCAGAGGGAGAGGGAGGGAGAGAAAGAGAGTGTGCTTGCATACATTGGTTCACTCCCCAAATGGCCACGATGGCCAGAGTTGGGCCGATCCAAAGCCAAGAAACAGGAACTTCTCTGGGTCTCCCACATGGATGCAGGGACCCAAGTACTTAGGGCATCCTCCACTGCTTTCCCAGGCACATTAGCAGGAAACTGGATCTGAAGTGGAGCAGCCGGGACTCAAATAGGTGCCCGTATGGGATGCCACCACCATAGGCAGCGGCTTTACCTGCTATACCACAGCACTGGCCCCCAAAAGGACTCTTAATTTAACTTCCATGAAGGTAGAAAGAAAAATATTTAAATTTGGTTGGAAAAAAAGGTATCACAAAGGAATTATTTCCATGATTATTATTTAGTTAGTAGGATTTTTTAAAGAAAGATTTTACTCATTTATTTGAGAGGTAGAGCTACAGAGAGAGAGAGGGAGAGACAGAGAGAAAGATCTTCCATCCTCTTGTTCCCTCCCAAAGTCACCCAAATGGCCAGAGCTGGGCAGATGGGAAGCCAGGAGCCAGGACTTTTTCCAAGTCTCCCACATGGGTGCAAAGGCCCAAGCACTTGGGCCATCCTCCACTAGTTTCCCAGGCCATAGCAGAGAGGTGGATTGGAGGTGGATTGGAAGAGGAGTAGCCAGGATATGAACAGGTGCCATATGGGATGCTGGTGCAGCAGACAGAGACTTAGCTCACTCTACCACAGCCGGGCCCATCAATAGGGTTCTATAACTATACATCTAAACAGATCTAGAGAGGAGCAGGTGTTTGCTGTACTAGTTGAGACACTGCTTGGGACACCTGTATCCCATATTGGAGTGTCTAGGTTTGAGTTCCAGCTCCATTCTCAATTCCAGTCTCTTGCTAATACACACCCAGGGAAGAAGCAGGTGATAGTTGAAGTAGTTGGGTCCTTGCCACCCACATTGGAAACCCAGATTGATTTTCCAGCTCCCAGTTTCTGCCTAGCCTAGCTCCAGCTATTGTGGGAATCTGGGTAGTGAAGCAGAGGATGGGAGTGAACAGTCTCTTTCTGTTTTCCATTCTCATTCTCATTCTCTCTCCCCCCCCCAAGATAAATACAATTTTTAATAAAGAAACTTACACAAATACCTCAGATGGCAAATGTAGACATAGAGCTTAGATCCATATATCACACACACACACACACACACACACACCCCTTCTATGCTTCCTCTACAACATTGTTAAGTACCTCCTAGGCCTTGGTAAGGCTTGTCTTTCCTTTTGTCTGGAATAATGACCCATAACTACTACATACAGAAAAGCTCAATTAATATGGCATTAGCTGGATGGAACTTAAGAGATCCAACAAAGGAATGAAATAAAAGAATAATGTGAAAAATAAAGCTTGTGCAAGTAAGCAAGCAAAGAGACAAAAAATAATTCTTGGCTGATGGGCCATGTGATAGTCATTTATACCTGGCACTGGTATAAATAAAAGAGAACGTGATTCTCCAGTTGCATTATAGTTAAAACATTTGTACACTATTATCTATAATATAAAAGCAGCATAGTCTCAGCTGGACTAAGCCAAGGTGAATAAATTACTCAGCATTCATCATTGGTGGGGGGAAGGACCTCAACTGATACAAACACTTACCCAGTGCCAAAATAGTAAGTCTGAAACAATTCAACAAGGAGCGAAACCGTTTCTTCTTGAAGGTTCTCTGCAATAGAGAATCGAGACCATACAACCTTCATTTCTGGCAGTTAGTTTCGGGTCACCTTTAAAAATCTAAGATGAGGCCAGAGCCGCGGCTCAATAGGCTAATCCTCCACCTAGCGGCGCTGGCACACCAGGTTCTAGTCCCGGTCGGGACGCCAGATTCTGTCCTGGTTGCCCCTCTTCCAGGCCAGCTCTCTGCTGTGGTCCGGGAAGGCAGTGGAGGATGGCCCAAGTGCTTGGGCCTTGTACCCCATGGGAGACCAGGAGAAGCACCTGGCTCCTGGCTTCGGATCAGCGCGGTGTGCCATTGAAGGGTGAACCAACGGCAAAAGGAAGACCTTTCTGTCTCTCTCTCTCTCTCTCTTTCTCTCTCACTGTCCACTCCGCCGGTCAAAAAAAAAAAAAAAAAGAATCCTAAGGTGTGAATTACGCGATGATGCATTGTCATTGTGAAATGTAGCTCTTTTCACTCTCAGAGCGTCCTGGTTTAGACAATAAGTTAAACAATCATCCTAGACAGTGAGAGAGAGAGACAGAGAGAAAGGTCTTCCTTTTGCTGTTGGTTCACCCTCCAATGGCCACCGCGGCTGGCGCGCTGCGGCCGGTGCACTGCGCTGATCCGATGGCAGGAGCCAGGTACTTCTCCTGGTCTCCCATGGGGTGCAGGGCCCAAGTACTTGGGCCATCCTCCACTGCACCCCCTGGCCACAGCAGAGAGCTGGGCTGGAAGAGGGGCAACCGGGACAGAATCCGGCGCCCCGACCAGGACTAGAACCCAGTGTGCTGGCGCCGCAAGGTGGAGGATTAGCCTAGTGAGCCGGGGCCCTGGCTTGCCTTCATTTTTTTTTAATCTCTGTGGAAATAATAATAGAACCTACCTGATGGGATTGTTGTAAGGATTAGCTTTTTCTGTATCTGGCCAGAATGGGGTCTTTAAGAAATATTAATGGGTATTCTTTGTATTACAGAAAAGCAGAAAATACATGTGATTTAGATTTAGACAGGTCTGGGACAGGATGTACAAGGTCCCACTCAGGGGCTTACTGCTTACGGAACTGAGCAAATGCGTGCCTATCTTCCAGGAATGGGATTTGGGAGAGGCTGGCTTCTTTATTGGACAGGGTTAGGAGGGTGAAACCCAGGTGGATCTTGAGGATGGGAATGTCTAAGTTTTCATTCTAAATCTTGAGCCCTAGCAAAATATATGTTAAACAAAAATTAAAAGTTTGCACAAAAGTGACAAAGACCAGAGAGGTGGCAGAAAGAAAGGAGAGTTTTGACTCATACAGCTAGCGTGCACCTCTGAGAATCACATTCAGCTACGGGAGTCACTGATAGGCTATGACACGCTCCATAACCTTAATAAACCTAGACAGAATGCCTGTCAAGAGCTATAAAGGATCTGAGATTTGACCCTCTTTGCAAGCTATCAAATTAGCCTGCCACTGTTTCATGGCTATGAGCGGACGATGCAGGACTCCTGGGGCAGAGAGCTGGACAATTTATTAATCACAACAGTGGTAGTAGCCAGAGTAGCAGCATTCATTCCACCAGCTCACGAAGCCCCAGCTCCCAATTCTGAAGCCATGCAGAGAGAGAAAGAGAACACCTGCATGTGTAGGGGTTGCATTATGGGAGAGAAGTCCTGAGCTGGGGGAACGCACATCCTTCGTAATGGATGGTGTGGGCATGCCTACTGCTTTCTCCAGAGGAAGGCACTCTCTGTATTATACCAGACAACAAGCCTGCCTGCCCTTTGCTGATTACTGCACATACATTCTAGAATAACGAGCCCAGAACAAAGGGACACCTGTGTCCCTTTGTAGGGACATGCAAGCATATGAGAGACCCACGGAGAATTGTCACCCAGTTATGCAGCAAGACAATGGATGCAAAAGCTTCTTCTCAGGCCATTGCTGTCAGAGAAGGACAATTCTCACACAGAGAAACGTCTTTAAGATTGCACAACCTATAGATCAAGGCTTCATTTTCCCCACCACGAGTTCCCATCGCCTAAAGCTAAGCTGGTCTCTGTGGGAGAGTGCGCTAACAATTTACTGTCAGCTTTCCTGAGCCAGCAAATGCGCCTTCTGATCTGCCAGATGGTTTGGGCCTGGTGCTCTGCAGCCTCACAACTGCCTCGATTCTGTTCTTTGCAGTGGGTGAGTGATGCCCCCGATGATGAGAAGTGATTGCCGATGGCTTTTGCCTGAATCCTGTTCTCCGTCTACACACCGCTTATTTGAAACCTGTCATACAGTTGAGCTACTGTTGTGGGAGGAGCACTTTGTCACAGTCCTCTTCAGGAGTCTCTGTGGGCAACCCTGGATTGTCAGGTGCTAGGCTGATAGAGGCAGGAACCAAGAAGACGAAAATCTCCCAATTTTCTCTGCAGCTTCTTCCTAGGATGGTCTCTGCCTATTTTGTCCCACAGGAGCCCTCTGTCAAGCTTCCCCCATCACCATTAGATTCTCACATGCAACTCTTCAAGATCCATTCTTAAAATAGAAATTGAATTTCAAAGTTACCTTGGTGTGGTTTTAGGTAATCTCTTATGCGAGTAGAAGACATAATTTTTATTTAAACATTTATTTATTTATTTATTTGAAAAGTCAGAGTTACAGAGAGTGATAGGAGAGACAGAGAGAGATCTTCCATCTGCTGGCCCACTCCCCAAATGGTTTTAACAGCTGAGGCTGGGCCAGGCTGAAGCCAGGAGCCAGAAGCTTCTTCCAGGTCTCTCACATGGGCACAAGGACCCAAGGATTTGGGCAGTCATCCACTGCCTTCCACATTAGCAGGGAGATGGATCAGAAGCGGAGCAGCCAGGACTCAAACCAGCGCCCATATGAAATGCTGGTACTTCAGATGGTGTCTTACCTCTCCGCACCACAACACTGGCCCCAAAAACATGATTTTTTAAGTCCATTCTTCAATAAAGAAACAGGTCACTGTCTCCTATTTTAAATAATCACCTCAAACATTTGCAAGACATTTGCCAGGTGCTAGGCACTACCTTAAGTGCTTTACATATATTTTCCCATTCAATCGAAGGTATTATCTTCATATTACAAATGGAACGAGAGGTACAGGGATATTAGATGACTTGTCCAGGGTCACACCAGCAATCAATGGCTGAGCTAGGGGTTGGATACAGGCAGTCCAGCAACAGAGGACAGGCTCTTAGCCACTAAGAGACCCTGTGAGAGAAGAGTTACCATAGATGGCTGGCTCCACTCTATAGATTAAACTCAAGAAGTACTTGTTGAAAATGAGTAGTTTTTTAAAATATGCAGTGGAAGGGAGCAAAACTGAGTTACTTTAGAATGGATGAAAGCTAGCTCCAAAAACCAGATAAATTTAAGGCAATAAAAGTGACCCATCTAGAGTGATTAGTGCAAAGATCCCTTAAAAAATAAACTGTTAATAAGGCAGGACTGAGTTTTATTTTTTCAAATACTTAAAATTACATTCTCTAAAATAATGACAAATTAATCTCCATCAAGCACATGGTAATTGAGCCCAAAGCTCATAAATCATTGTCAAGAGGCCAGAATGCCATATTGCACCTGGCACGTTCCCTTCCGTAGGGACAGCTGCAGGGCAGCCGTCCTTTCTCTTTCGAAGACAGGACACCATTCATCTCCCAAATTATCTGAAAAGAGCTGTCCCAGATTGAGGGTTGAGGCACAATCATATGGTGCTGAAATCACCTTACCAGAACTTACCAGTTTCCAGTTGTATTTCTTTGTTTTCCTGGAATAATTATTTAAAACCCATGTTTGCTCGATTAGCCTCTGTGCTCATCAACACACAGCACTGAGAAGTAACTTAAGGGAAGCCATCTACAGCTGTGTTTCTAAGACTTACGTCATCACGGCATACGCAGCTTGCAAGCCCCTCAAAGAGTTTGCCGGGCATAAGATGGGAGTTCTGGTTCTATGTATCATTGTCGCCTCATTTGGCATTTACCTGGCAGCAGATGGAGAACCGTATAATTGTCCAGACCCTGCCATCACCTCCTATACACACCCACACACACACAAATAAATCACAAAATTAAAGGCAGTCCTACAGATTACTTATTTTGTACTGCTCATGTTACAGATAGAAAAACTGAGGTTCTAGGGTAGTTTAGCATTTAGTTTGTCATCGTATTAGGTCCCTGCCTTAGTCTATTTTTGCTGTTATAATAAAATACCTGAAACTGGGTAATTCGTTGTTAGCAGAAGTTATATTAACAGAAATTTATTTCTCAAAGCTCTGGATGCTGAGAAGGCCAAGATCAAGGCTCCAGCAGATTTGGTGTCTGCCAAGGGACCAATATCGGCTTCCAAGATGGAGCCCTTGACTGCCGTATCCTCCAGAGGGGACGACTGCTGTGTCCTCACGTTGGAGGAGACAGGAGGGCAAGAGGGCCCGACTGATTCCCTAACGCCAGTTCAGAAGGCACTGACCCCATGCATGAGGGCACAGCACCCGGGACGTAACCACCTCCTAAGGGCCCCACCTTTTCATACTGTTACATCGGGGACTGGTTTCTACATGAGTTTTGGGGGGGGGGGGACACACAGGTTCAGTCCATAGCAGATTTGCAGTTGCAAGCAACAGAACTTCACTTCCAAATAATACAAACAAATGGGAGAATGATTTCTACAGGGATACAGAAATGCCTCAAGAACTCAAGGGCAGAAGTAAGAGCCAAGCTTCAGAACCAGGTAGAACCAAGTTCAAACCCCGCTGGGAGCTGTGCGCCCTCTTCCACTCGAGCTGTTCTACACTGCTTGCTCCTCTTTCTGCCTCAACCTGCGTCCTGGACTACTGCATGTGAATCCCAAAGATTCCAAGGCGTAGATCTGCTGCCCTGCCTAGTTCAGAAGCCCATTTGACAACCAGGGCGCTCCCAACATAGGACCCCGGTCACATCACGTTGATTGCATCCGCTGCAGCAATGTGATTGTGAGGGAAAATCCCAGAAAGTAAACCTGAGACAAAATGAAGTCTATTCCACGCGAACACACAACGGGATGCAGAACTCCACCGTCTGAGTCGAGGTGCCTTTCTATGTTTCATCCCATTATTTGTGAATTAACGATCTGAATATCTGCAGAGGGGCCAGTGTTGCTGCGCAGTGGGTTAGGCTGCCACCTGTGATGCCGGCATCCCATATCTGACCTCTTGTTTGAGCCCCAGATGCTCTGTTTCTAGTCCAGATCCCTGCTAATGCACCTGGGAGAGCAGCAAACGATGGCCTGAGTTCCTGAGCTCCTGCAACTGATGTGGGAGATGCAGATGGAGTTCCTGGCTCCTGGCTTTGGCCTGGCCAAGCCCTGGCTGTTGCCACCATTTGAGGAGTGAACCAGCAGATGAAAGATCTCGCTCTCTCCTCACCTTTCTCTGTCACTCTGCCTTTCAAATAAATTGAATCTTTTACAAAAATTAAGAAGTAAGGGGCCAGCACTGTGGCATCACAGGTAAAGCTGCCTCCTGCAAATCCGGCATCCCATATGGGCGCCAGTTCAAGTCCCAGCTGCTCCACTTCTGATCTAGCTCTCCGCTATGCCCTGGGAAAGCAGTAGAAGATGGCCCAAGTCCTTGGGCCCCTGCACCCACGTGAGAGACATGGAAGAAGCTCCTTGCTTCAGATTGGCACAGCTCCAGACATTGCAGCCAATTGGGGAGTGAACAAGGGGATGGAGGACCTCTCATTCATTCATTCTCATTCTCTCTCTCTCTCTCTCTCCCCCCATCCCTTCTTTCTCTGTGTAACTCTTTCAAATAAATAAATTTGAAAAATTAAAAAGTAAGGGCTAGCGCTGTGGCGCAGCAGGTTAACGCCCTGGCCTGAAGCGCCAGCATCCTATATGGGTGCCAGTTTGAGACCTGGCTGCTCCACTTCCTATCCAGCTCTCTGCTATGGCCTGGGAAAGCAGTAGAAGATGGCCCAAGTCCTTGGGCCCCTGCACCCATATGGGAGACCAGAGGAAGTTCCTGGCTCCTGGTTTGGATCGGCGCAGCTCCAACCGTTGCGGCCAATTGGGGAGTGAACCATTAGACAGAAGACCTCTCTCTCTCTGCCCCTCCTCTCTCCATGTAACTCTAACTTTCAAGTAAAATAAATCTTAAAAAAATTTTTTTAAATGTCAAAGATTATTTAAGAATTAATATATTATAAGCAGTATCTTTTTAATATTTATAACTATTACTTCTTGAGAGGGTTTATATATATTCTATGTACTTTACAATTACATAATTGCATTTAATCTTCACAATAGCTTAGAAAAAAGAGGCAGTGTTAGTTTCATTTTACAGAATTTCAGACAGGAAGAGTAGATAGGAGCCAAATTCAGTAACTAGAATTGAAAAGCAGGACTACAGTGGCAGAGGAAAATAAATGAAATTTCTACCCTGAGCTTGAAGCAAAGAAGAAAAATGCACCTGGAAGCAAACTATAAATTCAAGACATCAAGACCCATTGACTCCTAGAAAGGGAAAAGAGAACCTGAGCAGCCTTCAAGAACCTACAGGCTACTAAACAGCATTCTGGCCTCAGAATCAGCCCTTAAGGCACTCGGATCTGGCTAAAAAGCCCATGAAAGTTTTGCAGGCATGGAAAGCCAAGACACTGTGGCAAAAAAAAAAAAAATGACCTAAATGAAAGATCTCTGTGAGTGAGATCCCAGTGGAAAGAACGGGCCATCAAACGAGGCAGTACCTTTCTCTGAAGGGAGGAGAGAACTTCCACTTTGACTATGGTCTTGTCTAAATAAGATTGGAGTTGGCAAACTCAAGAGGCTTCCATAGCCTTGGCAGCTCATGACAAGAGCCTCAGGTGATTACTGACATCATAAATAAGAGTGCCAATTCTTAAATCAACAACAGGAGTCACTGTGCAACTGCTCCCATTAGGACCTCTGCCCTTAATGTGTTATACTATGAGAATTAATGGTAAAACTACTACTCAAACAGTACTCTATATTTTGTGTGTCTTTGTGGGTGCAGTCTGTTGAAATTTTTACTTAGTATATACTAAGTTGATCTTCTGTATATAAAGATAATTGAAAATGAATCATGATGAAGAATGGGATGGGAGAGGGAGTGGGAGATGGGATGGTTGCAGGTGGGAGGGAGGTTATGGGGGGAAAAGCTGCTATAATTCAAAAGTTATAATTTGAAAATTTATATTTATTAAATAAAAGTTGAAAAAAAAAAAAGATCTACAGGCTAGGCCAGTTTAAGGGGTATTTAAGGGGTATTAGTCAAGGTTTCCACCCCCAAAACATCAATCATTGTGTCATTTCATTATTTATAATTGACTCCATGGCAAAGAGGCCCAGAAATACATATTTTAAAGGAAGCAAGTAATTACTAAAGTCCAAATTAGAAGTTGGAATCAATGGGTTCTGTTGACCTTTGTGTGCACTGGATTGCAATGTATTTGGCCAGGTCAGCACAAAGTGCTGGGTAAGCCACACACCGCACATTCTGAGTTCCTCCCTGCAGAAGGTGAGCTGGTGCACTTGAGCACTGCAGGCCACCTGTCTTGGGGATGTCTGTGTGGCGCAACAGCAGAGGTTCCATCGCCACTGGAAGTGGGGGAACATTGAAGTTCTCTTCAGCACCGAGAACTATGCGCTCCCCCTGACTGCTCCAGTACCTTTTCACTGAGCAGGAACTCTCAACACGCTGGGGCAGCCCACCAAACGGGACTAAAGGGAGAGGAAGAATCCAATCCAGGCGCCTTGCACATCTCACTTAGAGCAGCAACCTCGGCAAGTAGTTGTTTTCATCTTCATTCTATGAATGAAAGGCCTGGTGTTCAGAGAAGTTAAATCACTTGCCCAGGGTCACCAAGGCAGGTGTGCCAAGGGAGAGCTGCCTGACTCCAGATTCTCTCTTGGGTTTGGCCTCCAACACCAGCAGGAATGCCCTATTCTCATACACTGCTAACCCCCACCCCAACCAGGCTGGCATGAAGAAGGGTCTTTTCATGGTCCCTTTATCAGGCCCAAAGAAAGAACTGGAAATCAATCCAGGTCTCCTGTGGGTGGCAAGGGCCCAGTTACTTGTGCCATCACCACTGCTTTCCAGGGTGTGCAACAGCAGGAAGCTGGAATTGGGAGCAGAGTCAGTATTTGAACCCAGCACTCTGGAATGAGATACAGTTGACCCAAGGCATCTTAACTGCTATGCCACATGCTTGCCCTGCTTCCTAATACTCTCTCATGTTTTCTCTACTCTCTTTAATTTAGCCCTTCTAATCCTTTCCCCCATTTTCTTGCCCCAAAGGATTCCCTGTTGTACTTACTTTGGGGCTACCACCTCTCTGCCCCTACCCAGCAACCCAACCTGCAAATCAAAACAACTCACATGGGGCCGGCGCAGTGGCTCTCTTGGCTAATCCTCCGCCTGCAGCGCCGGCATCCCATATGGGCGCCAGGTTCCAGTCCCAGTTGCTCCTCTTCCAGGCCAGCTCTCTGCTGTGGCCCAGGAAGGCAGTGGAGGATGGCCCAAGTGTTTGGGCCCCTGCACCGCATGGAAGACCAGGAAAACGCACCTGGCTCCTGGCTTCGGATCGGCGTAGTGCTGGCTGTGGTGGCCATTTGGGGAGTGAACAAATGGAAGGAAGACCTTTCTCTCTGTCTCTAACTCTATCTGTCAAAATAAATTTAAAAAATAAAATAAAATAAAACTCACACCCACGTGGCCAACAAGCAAGGGGGCACTGTGCACACCTGGGTTCTTGTTTGCACTCTCGGCCCAGGGTGTTGGCCCCACCCTTGCCTCAGGCTGGCCCAACCAAAGGTTTGTACCTACAATGCCCTACAGGGGAAAATACTTGGGACAGAGCTAATAGCTAATATAAATATGTATATATCCAAATATAACCCAGAAGCACAAATGTGCATTTTTAAAAATCAACTTTAAAAGAAAAATGGGGTGGCTATTGTGGTGCAATGAGTTGAATTCTC